TCTGGGGCCATGCTGGAACATTTGCAGAGTCTTTCCTGTGGGGGGGATGTTGTTAAATCAACCCCACAACATGTTTGAGGGAAAGACGTTTAGCCGAGCCAACGTAAAGGCTCTACGATGGGAAGGAAGGCTGAGATTATGTAAATAATGGGCCATTTGGCCATGTTGGGTTGAGAGGTTAAGATGAACTTGTGAATAAATATGTGGATGTGAAGGACGGAAATTATGTATAGTCTTTGTCTACTAGATCGAAAAATTGAGGTTTCATCCATTTGGAGAAAGTAATCAGTCAAAAAGCCTATTGGATGGATTTTTTCTTCTATTTTTGAAAACCAGAGGGGACTGTGTATATCATTTTAAAGTGTGAAATTAGAGAGTTTGGAGAGGCTCTAAAATGAATTTTGAGCCAATATTTAAAGGTTAGTAGCCAACTTTTGTTTGAATAAGACATTGGCCCAATTCTAGGCATAAAGCCGAGTGTGGCACACACGGGACACCTAAGAGTTGGCGAAAGAAGTCTGCTTGAATGTGCTCAAACTTGATGTTAAGTGCCTTTATCCATACTGGGCAACCAAAGAGTACTTGGGAAAGCACTTTAGTTTCGTAATTTTTTATTGCTGAAGGGATATGTTGATTTCCATGATAAACAAAAATTGCTTGAGAAACTGGTCTAATTCTCTGTTTTGTCCAATTTAGGTTGTACTGAAATGTTACTCCTAAGTATTTGAAAGTTTTGACCTGTTCAACTTCAGATGTAAAATTTCCGGAAATTTTGAAGCTCGGAAAAAACCCCGTTTTTTTTTCGGGGGAAAACGGAAATTTTCGGAAAAATTGAAAAAAATGCTACATTAGCATTTCTTTTGTCTTTTCTAGATTGAAAGTCATTCTGTTACTTTAGGAACATAAAATATGACTATGGACATTTTTATTTGGCATGAAATTATCACAACTAGTATATTAAAAATATAGTGTATCCAAACAATTATTACAAATAGAATACCCATCCACATGCAAAAACAAAACTGAAACCTTTTTATTTTCTTCTGACAATCGCACCTCCTAAAGGAAGAAATGCATCTTGTTCTTGCATTGGAGAGTTCAGTTTGTAACCTAGGACTTGCTTGTCCTCAGTGCACAGAAATTAGATCAATCTGATACCATTATATATTTTAGAAATGATTTGGAAAATATTTGAACACCTTGTCTTAAAATATTTTATTTATCATGTTAAAATAAAACATTCCATAATCAATTTCTTTTCTTTTCTTTTTTCAATTTTTCCAATTTTTCGGGAAAAAAAAAAGCTTCAGGGAAAAAAACGGAAAAAAAACGTTTTTTTCCGGGTTTTTTCCGGGTTTTTTCCGGGCCTTCACATCTAGGTGGGTGACTGTTAATGGGTCCAGATACAAAGCTAAATCATTTAAAAATAAATTAAAAAGAAAGGGGGCAGAATCCACAGCTTGACAAGTTTTCCAACAAATTTTATTTTCTTTTGTGTTTTATTAGTCCTCACCAATGTTCCCTCTAAGCTGTGGAGTCTTGTGAGCAAAAATTCTACTTTGTGAGCAACTGGCATTAAAGCTGTGAGCCAGCGATTTGGCTACTGCATAAATTAGTTTGATCTGGAGCCATCCTTCCTGAGCTAAGAAAAAAATCTGTGAGCTGGAGGCTAAAAAACTGTGAGCTAGCTCACACTAACTCAGCTTAGAGGGAACACTGGTCCTCACCCACAACACATCAATTCCCCTTCAAAAGAAACAAAACCAATAACACAACCATGCCTGGTAGGCCCATCAGACTGAGGAAGGGATGTTAGGAACAGGCTTTCTTAAATAACAGAAACAATGATGGGGGTAGGTTTGTCTGCTCATGAGAAACTGGCAGGATTCCTCCCCATTTTGAAATTAGTGATTTATCAGCTCAGGGCCACTATAAAGAGATCCAAGAATCTTGTATCTGTAATTTTCTCCCCTGATTTCAGTTATCAATTCAGTAACACAAGGCTTTATATTTTTATACTCTTGGGCGGAGCGTTCCTGACTATTTTACCAATCTCCCTGGTTTTCTTAAATAACAGAAATGATGGGGTTGGTCTGCTCTGGAGAGAACAGCAGGATTTTTTAACCTGTTTTGAACATGGGACCAACAACAGGACAGGAAACCACCCCTGCACCGGACTCCATCCCTGGCCCCACCAGAAAAAAATGTTCCACAAGCCAAAAAAATCTGCTTACAGGCCTGTGACACACCCATTTCATCACAGGTTTTTCAAGGTAAGAGCTGATTAGAAGTGGTTTACCATGGCTTCTTCTGTGCAACTAACCAGAGTTAGCTGAAGTGGCACTGCTGTTGTCTACAGGGTACCAATTACTGTAAGTGCCCTGAGCCTGCTTGTGGTGAGGGCGGGGTATAAATCAAATAAATAAATACATACATACATACATACATACATACATACATACATACATACACACACACATACAAAAGTTCCTCTGCCAGTGTCCCCTTCCATTACTGCTGCTGCCCCCATCACCACTGGAACCGTCCATTCTCTTCTGCTGATGTGGCTGTTGATGTCTCTTAATCTGATGTCTCAGCTGTGACCATTTTGCCTTCAGTGACTCTGCTAGGAGTTTAGCCTCTGGACAGACTCCCAACTCCTTACAGTATTGTTCTCAGCTTTTCTGACACACACAAAGCCCCTCACCATGTTAAGGTGTGTGTCCAAGAGGGTACATATTTGTTGGATTTTTGTTGATCTAACTAACCAGTTTATTTATTTAGTATGGTCAACAACCATATTCAAACATAGTACAATATAAAAATCTTTCCTTACATATAATTCTGTTTTGGTCATGGACTCCCCTGAACATTCCAACATGCTCCCAAATCAGTTGGCTCCCTGAGGGTCTCCCTATCCACTGGCTGCATTGCCTGAGTCTTGCCTCCAGCATTCTAAACAGTTTGCTGTTCCTCTCCCCTCCATAGCCAGTCAGAACACAGAGGTAATTTCCATATGTGGCCTGATTGGCCTTTGCCTCGGAACACAGAAGCTGTTTGCATATGCGGCCTCATTGGCCTTTGCCTCTAACATTCTAAACAGTTTGCTGTTGCTGTTCTGAGGTAAAATACATTTCCCCTTAGTGCCTGTTGGGGGAAACCATTGTTGCCAATCTCCAGGTGAGGGCTGAAGATCACTCAGAATTACAACTGCTTTCCAGATAGCAGACATCAGTTCCCCTGGAAAAAACGATGGACTCTGTGTCCTTATATCCTGCTGAGATGGCCCCTGTATGACAGCCAATGTGATGTAGCAGTCAGGGCTTCAAAGCACGGTAGAGACTGCAGGTGGGGGGTGGAAAGCTGAAGAGTGAGGGGAAAATAAAGGTTGGTTGATGATTGGCTGGGAAAGAGATAAGGTTGCCAACTCCAGGTGGGAAATTCCTGGAGATTTGAGGGATGGAGCCTGGAGAGAGTGTGGTTTCAGGAGGGTTCACAAATCACAATGAATAGACAATAATAACTAGTACAGAATTGACGCTTGATGATGTTTATAATTTCTATGTTTTCAGAACACAGGACGTCAAATACGGAAGGTGAGCGATACGAACATCTCGAGTGGTTGTTCGTTTCGAGACAACTCTTTTTCAACCAAATTCAGTTCTCTGGTTGTCTTATTGTGTTTAGCTGTGATATCAATCTTATCCAACATCCGTAAAGCAAGACTTGTTGTCCGAATTTAGAATTTGTTAGCCCTTGTGCTGTTAAAACTTGTTAGCCTATGTGCTTTACGGATGTTGGATATTGTCTATTCATTGTGATTTGTGAACTCACAGCAATTTTTCATCATTATTATTGTACTGCTTTGAATTGCTGGTCCCCCTTGTATATATTTGTTCAGGAGGGTTCAGACAGGTACAATGCAATAGACTCATTCCTGGAGATTTGACGGGTGGAGCCTGGAGAGGGTGGGGTTTGAGGAGGGGTGGGACCACAGACACGTACAATACCATAGACTCCACCATCCAAACCAGCCATTCCCTCCTGGGGAACCATTGTTGCCAATCTCCAGGTGTGGACTGGAGACCACTCAAAATTACAACTGCTCTTCAGGTAGCAGAGATCAGTTCCTCTGGAGAAAATGGTGGACTCGGTGTCATTATACCCTGCTGAGGTCACCACAGCCAATTGACACTGAGTGCCCAAGACTGGGGCACCCGCCCAGAGCCTCTTTCTAGAGCTCGTTGTATTTATTTCCACAACGGACCTTATTCCTAGTATAATATAAAAGATAATAGCTTAAAGAAAAAAAAACAATTAAGATATACAGATTGTCATACTTCATAGATAAAATTTACCAATCATCATATTTCAGAAATTATTCTGAAATTATATTATTCTAAAAATATTAAATCAAAACAGGGAAGGAGAATTCCTATTGAACAGGTCTATTGTTTGCTGCACACTTTGATCGCTTGGGCATAGCTTAAATTTTATCAATCAATAGTTTCTCCAGACTTGCCTCATCCATCAGCATTGCTAGTCCATCCAAAAGAGGAAGGATTGTATTACCTCTAATTTCTTTATAAAAAGGACAGAGGATAAAAACGTGTCCCAATGTTTCCACCTCACCTAGGGAGCAGGGATAGATCCTTTTAGTATATGAGATTTTCTTATATACTAATACCATTGATGGCATATCATCACATTTAGCCAGGGTAAAAGCCCTCCTGTGGGGAGGAAAAGCTAAAGTTTTAAGATATTGGGCCAGTGTCATAGAGTATCTAAATTTCTCAGGGGCCATAAAGTTTGGAGTTCTCATTAAATCTTGTCACAAACTCTTTGCTAGATTATAGGCCCATTCTTTCTAATCAGAACCTGTCCTCAACTAAATGCAACCATCTTGGCTGTTGGAGATCTGGTGTTATTAAGGGAAGAAGGCCTTTTGGATTTCTGTGTATCCTAAGCCATTGAAAGGCAGAGGCCAACAGGATTTTCACCTTAATTCTCATTTCTCCTGCTTCTAATGGAAGGACAGAGTTAGATACACCAGGAGGGACCTGAAGAAAGGCACAAAGAAATTTAGATTGCATTTTTTCCAAAAGAATGCAGACTAGCTGCTGAAATACCTAAAAGAGCACCATAAAGAAGTTGAGTTATTACTTTAGCTTGGAAAAGCTTCAGCACATCAGGTACATCGGATCCCCTTTTAGAGTGAAAGAATCTCAAAACTGCATATGTTGCTCTCTCAGAGGACTCTACCCCCAGATTACATGTGCTTCCTTAGATCCAGTCTCCTGAAATGAGACCCGAAAGTAGGTAAATCTGTTAACCTGCTTGATTTTATTCCCCTTCATTGACCAAGCGCTCATTGTGCAGATTTTGTGATCCACAATCTGAGACAAGGTTCGGCATTACACATATTGCTTTTTTTTTTTAAGACACATTCAATAAGCATTTCCTTCCCTTTCCCCCCCTTTTTGTACCTTCCTGAGTGAAGGTTGCACTCTCAGATCGAGAAGTAGCAACAATAGTTCCTACCAAAATGAGAGAAATATGAGTATAGTAGAAATTACTAGGAATGATACAGATAGGTTACAACCAATGCTCCCTCTGTGCTGTCGAATCTTGTGAGCAAAAAATCTACTTTGTGAGCTACTGGCATTAAAGTTGTGAGTGAGAGCTTTGGCTACTGCACGAATTAATTTGCTCTAGCCATTCTTCCTGAGCTCAGACAAAAATGTGTGAGCCAGAGGCTAAAAAACTGTGAGCTAGCTCACACTAACTTAGCTTAGAGGGAACACCAGTTACAACCAATGTTCCCTCTAAGCTATGGAGCTCTGTGAGCAAAAATTCTACTCTGTGAGCTACTGGCATTAACGTTGTGAGCAGGAGATTTGGCTGCTGCATAAATTAGTTTGCTCTGGAGCCCTCCTTCCTGAGCGAAGACGCAAATGTGTGAGCCAGAGGCTAAAAACCTGTGAGCTAGCTCACACTAAATCAGCTTAGAGGGAACACTGGTTACAACAGCAGTTAATATACCAGAACTTCAAATAGATTTTTCTAAAATATATCAAGAACAGTGTCAGTATTACAATGGAGTCAGCATTCTGCTGAGGATGCCTTTTGGCATGCATTTTATTTCAGCTATTTTTAAATTGTTTGAAATTATGTATAGAAGATGAGAAATTTCACGCTCCTGAAAATTTAGATTCTATTCTATGTCTACAGAATGTGGAGGATGCATTAGTAATCTTTCAGATACCCACAACCCTGCAAAGGCCTTTAAATACTTTTTTATAGGTTACAGACAGGCTTGGAGCTAAGCAGTTTCCATGTGTCAAGCTCACTGCAGCAGAATGCTGTGATCATACTGTCATTAAATAAGTCTATATACTTGCATTTAAAGTAGATTGACAAGACTGACAATCTAGATCTTTGTTTTAAGAATCCTAAGTCATTCAAACAGGCAGCCAGTCAGATGGGGCAGAAGGTGGCATTTAATTGCCACCACAGAGCAAAGCTGAGTAAAAGGGACACTACATCCTTACAGGCAGGAGACACAAGGTGACAGCACAGGCAGTGGACATTGCCACTCAGCTCCATATGGGTGTACTGCAGCTGGCCAGTCAGCAACAACCTGATGATGCATGGAATGCGCTGTCTGTGCTGTCTCTTCAGCTGTGTTGGGAAACCTAAAGGGAACCCCCACAAAAAACCCCACAAAAACAAATTCTGGGCTGCTGACCTGGCAACCCTAAAAAATGTTTTTGTTTTGGAACTTACATGTTGGAACTTACATGTTTTGGAACTTACACGTTTGAAGCATACATATCAGTAAGCAGCTTGGCAATGAACTATTTTCCACACCTGGTGCTTCTGTTCTCTTTGTTAGAAAGGATTTTTCCAATATTGGCCCAGTGCAGATGTCACAGTGGTTCTGTTGCAGAGCACAGCTTGCACATTCTGAGTCAACCATCAGCATATGCACCTGCCCTATCTTCCCTGCTCTACTATCCCCTCTTTTCACCTGTCACTCTTAACCTTGTCACATCTACACAAATGCTAACTGTGCTTAATCTGTTTCAAACTTGGCTTCATATACTGGTTAAAATTATTAGTGTTCACGATGGATAGGATCAGTGGTTAAGGATAACAAGAGAAAGGGCAGCAGGATTTATGCTGATTGGAGGCATTGTGCATCCTGGACAATAGCTTATAATTCACAAAACAATATTTGCCAATGATTAAGGCATCTTAATACTCTATTCTGTAATCCACACCTGCTGGGTGTTTGATAGAAGAGGGTTCAGCATTTCAAATACTGGGGTCGAACTTCAGTACTTTAGCTGCATGTTAAGAAACCAAAGATGAAAGTGAAGATATTCAGTTCAGTTAGAGCTGAATTTTTAAAAAATTTCCTCACAAACCCTCAAAATTTAAAATCTGATTGCTACGGACTTGTTGTTAGGCTATACTGTTTGCCACATCCTATCAAATTTTAAATCAATATTAAACTCACTGCATTTCAGCCAGGTTTCTCTCTGAGTTAGTTTGAGCTAGCTCACACATTTTTGTCTTAGCTCAGGAAGGATGGCTCCAGAGCAAACTAATTTATGCAGTAGCCAAATTTGCTCACTCAAAACTTTAATGCCAGTACCTCACAAAGTAGAATTTTTGTTCACAAGACTCTACAGCTTAGAGGGGGCATTGAATTTTCAGCTATAATTTTTGCCAACTACCTGATTATTGAATTCCAAATTGCTAGTGAATGCCAATGGAAAATACAATTACACATTGACTGTGAAATGGTAAAAACCTACACACCAGCTGCTATTACATAGTATTTCTCAAATCCTAACTACCAATGCATATAATTTACCATACACACTGAAATACTAAACACCATTGCTCATTGACCTCTCATTGTGCCAAATATTGCCAAGCATGAAAATGAAAGACCAAATTTAAACCCAACTACGGGCTACCAAATAATGACATTGTAGTATCAGCTTTTGCATGCGATAAGTGCCCGGGGGGGGGGACAGTAGTTCGAATCATCCGCAGAATATTATTGAGGGAGATGGATAATGTACAATGCAATCCTGAGCAGAGATATACCCTGTTATGACCACTGACTTCATAAGATTTAGAAGGGTGTAATTCTTTTTTGGATTGCACCGAGAGGCACCTAATGCACAGCATTTAACTGTATGTGTGAATACGGTAATTTATGTAAACTTTTTCTCTTTACTTAAGAACCAACACAGTTTCTTTCTCCCCCTATGCAAACAATTTTTTTTAATCAGCAGATGAAAAGAGGCAGGGGATGGCATCAATATTATTATTTAATTTTTGCCTCTGTAGCAGTTTACAGACAGGGACAGTAACTCCAGCTGAACAGTTCTGGGGTGCATGTTGGGAGCTCCAAAGTGGGCATGGAGTTCAGTACAACCAAAAGCTGTTCCATTTACTTCAGTATTAGGCACAGTGCCATCTGAGACACTTCTGAGTCCATTTCGGATTTAAGTTCTGCGCCCCCACTGCTTTATATCAAATGAGATACTTGCTTGGAAGTCAAAGAAACTCCATTGCTTCCCATGAGCTTTCATGGCCTGGCTTTTAGAGTTTCCTTCCTGCTTTAGCTTGTCACAACAACAAGCTGATTTAATATTTTAAAAGGTGTTAGATATCTATTTCAGAAAACATCCCAACTTGTTCTAAGGGACATCCATAAACACACAGAAGCAAGCTTTGTGAGTAGCTTAGCTGCCAGTGATGCTGATGAGATCAGACAGAAACAGCAATCAGGCATTTTTTTAAAAGTCAAGTGACTGCTCCCACAATTTACCCCATATCTAAACCTATAAAATGTAAGCCCTGTATAACACTGTACACACAGCGGTGAAAGTTCTTTCTGAATCTCAGGATGACCAGCAGTGCCATCTTATGCAGAGTTATACTCTTCTTAGCCACTGACTTCAATAGACTTAGAAGCATGTAACTCTTATTTAGGGCTGCACTACAGGGCCTTTCCTGCAAATAGATAAGTGTATGAATCTTTTCTGTGCTACAGTGTTCTAGCTCCCACACTAGAAGATGCAACCTATACCATCCACAAGATATTATATTTCATCCATACAAGTGTTCTAAAGTGTAGCATCTTTTATCATGAAGATTTTCCATCTTACAGGAGGAATTTATCTACAGTTGGAAGATCTACATTATACATTATATGTTCTCCAAATGTTAATGGGATTTAATTTTGGGGTTGGCTTTTAAGTGGAATGGGCCCTTAGATATAAGTGACAGGTGGTATACTTATGGTTACAAACAGGAATGGGCATGAGTCATGGTTTGTGAACCCCCACAAACAATTCCATTTGCTGAACCAGTTTGGGTTTGTGAGGTTTATGCAGCTTATGAGCGATTGGGGGGGGGGGGACAACAAAAGGGATTGCTGAACTGGCTTGCATTTAAATGCCTCCTAGCTCACTTGCATCACATTAAATGCTTCTTCGGGGGGGGGATCTATTAGATGCAAGCCAGTTCACTGATGCCTTTCGCTCCCCCCCCAAAAAAAAATTGTGGCGACTTTCACAAGTGGACTCAGAAGGCATTTAAATGCCTTCTGAGATCACTCACATTGCACCGCAGTGGCATGGACTTAAAGGGTTTCCGACTGTTATCTTGGGCACCAGCACCTCTGACCCACGAACCCTTATGAACTAAATGAACTACTGCAAAAACCATGGCTGCTGGTGGGCAGTTTGTGAACAGTGTGATTGCATGAATCAGAGTTCACGATCGCATGAACTGGCCTGGTTCATCACGGAATTTGGTTTGTAATTCTGTTCCTGCCCTTCCCTAGTTACAAACTATGTGAAGAAATGCTTGTGGAATTCATATACATTATCATGTTTTTCCTTGATCTTTCAAGGGTATTGTACCAATAATGCTGTTTCTCCATTTAGAAATATACACATTTAGGAAGAGCATTTTTATGACTGAGGGTGCTTAGTGCTTAGAATACAACACCATAAATGTAAACATGTGGCAGAGGACTCACTGAGTGTATATAAGGGTTGAAAATATTTAAATTAGGATTTTTCCTGCATGTTAGGCAGATAAATGACCCTGAAGGTTTCCCTTACTGTCAGGTAGGTCTATCAATGTCTATTAACCATGTTGACTGAGGGGAACTTACATGTTCAGAGGCAGTCAGCCGCCCTGAGCCCGTTCGCGGGGAGGGCGGGGTATAAATGTCATAAATAAATAAATAAATCCAGTCCTGGGAGGCAACATCAGGGGAAGGTCTCAGCCTCTATGCCCTGCTGTTGGTCCTCCAGAAGAAATGATTGGCCACTGTGTGAGCCAGGAAACTGGACTAGACGGACCACTGGTTTGATCCAGCAGGGCTCTTCTTATGTTTACCCAGCGGTATGTGGCTTGGGTTGGTTGCTTGAGTCACATGGAGCATCTTCATTATACACACTGTACTTTCAGTAATCTAGATTAATGGATGTGCACACGGATCATCCTGCCAGGCCTTTGTAATAGATGCTTCCTTGCACCTTTTTGGCTCAACAGACTTAGAAGGGTGTAACTCAGAATGAGACTGCACTACTAAATAAATTTTTGTAATATTGAAGTCCACAATGGATTCCTGGAGTTTTAATGCAATTAATATGTACAATACTATGATAGTTATCTGTAAGGCTATTTTTGTCTGCCCTGAATCTAGGCTTGCCAAGTCCCCCCAGGCTGTGGGGAAACCCCCGCCCCAGAGGCCCGTTCCCCGCCGCTGGCGGATCAGGCCCCGGGGGGAACCCCACCCCAACGTGCACGTCACCCGGAAGTGACGCGACCACGCCAAGCGCGCTGGGGTGGGGCCACGGTCATCCGAGGGAAAACTCTATGGTAAATGCGGCATGCGCGCGCGCACTCCAGCCGCCAGCCGGGAGTCCCCTGCTGCGGCGAAAATCAGACTTGGAAACCCTACCTGAATCTCATTGGACTACCGCCAAATTTAAAGCAGACCCCCCCAAAATTCTCTATACTCATTTTTTCTGCATAATTAATTTTCTGACACACAGATATGATAGCTGTTAAATTTGCCTGTATTTATTATGCTTGTTTTCTTGATTTTGATTCTGAGAACACAAAAAGGGGAGAGAAGGTTTTCAATACAATCAGAATAGCCCCCCTCTTCCCAAAAGGACTGGAGAAAATATACATATGTAGATTTGATATATTGGCACAAAATCAGCACATAAAATAGGGCAGCTGCTACACCTTACCCCACTCAAAGTCCCTTGCTTTAAAAATCACTTTGAAGCATGTTATAAAATACATTAGCAATAAATTCTTAGCAGATGATATTCTATCAAAGCTCTACATTAAAGCTTCTACATTATTCATTTGAAACTAAGTTTTCCAAACCAGTCCAGCCTAGCTTCTCCTGTGCATGCTTTGAACAAGGCAAAAAACTTTATGATGTCTATGAGCTTTAGAGTGCACAATATAAAAATTTAAAGCTATTGGGAGTCTCTGTAGAAGGTATCTTCCTAGCCCCTAATGCATGGTCAAGTCTTGCCAATGACAGGGGAATAGTACCAGTAATTCTTTTCTTCAACTATCAGGTAGGGAGATCTATTGGATAAGTATTTTATTTATTTCATGCAATTCAAAATAATTAATGTGTAGAATTTATTACAATGGCCATTGCCACTGAAGGCTTTATAAAGGATTAAACATGTGCATAGAAAATGGGTCTATCAAAGGCTGTTAGACATAATAACTACACATGGAATTGAATTGCTCAGAGGGAGCAGACTTACTTCTCCGATCAGTAGACTTCCAAAGTTAGCCCCTACCTCTTTTGAATCTTCTCTACCCAGAGCCAGCCCTGGTAATTTTTTGGATATAACTGAGTTGCAGAACTGTGGCCAAGAGATGTGCATATTCTTGTTCTGAAACTATATAGAAAAGGGAAGAAAGTTGGAACACAAATTCCTGAAACACTCTAATGCAATGAATGAAAAAATCTCTATAATGAAAATCGACTGTTTATCTAGTCAATGAAAGATGCCTTCCTACCCACAGGACTACTCAGGTAAACAAGTTCGTACTGTATATTGAAATATAATCAATTCATTAAGAAAATGCAGTCCATCTTAAATGACATTCCTAGTTATTTCTTCAGCAGTCTGAATTATGGAATAAACACCAACCTAGATTCTTGTACTTGACATGTCTGAGTATATGGAATATTTGATTCTAAATAAATAATTTTCTGCTTTAGAATTCTGAAAGAGACATTTTACTACAGCTTTGTTTTATCAATAATGATGACAAAATTACTCTGTGCTACAAAAGTACCCCTGGTAGAGTATTAGAAATTTTCCATTCCCCCCCTTTGTAATGCTTGTTTGAGAATATTCAGTGATTCAATACTAAGTGTTCTTCAGTTCTCTTATGCAAATGTGAAAAGACCCTTCATTGTCTATGGCTAAGCCAAAACTGTACCACAGCAGCAAAATTTTGTGCCTAAAATTTTGTGAGAGCTGAAGTCTCATCAGGGTACTATTCCTGTCCAGAAAACTGTCATTCACAGCATACCCTCAGCACATTCAATTGGATGCCCTGGTCATTGGCTAATCACTCTTTTTGGGAGTCACAAGGATATTTTGAATGTTAGCTCTGATTAATTATTGAACTGAAAATTCTCCCTTCACCTTTCCTGGCTGTCCCATCTTCTGGGTGGCAGTTCTTGTTAAGTATTAATTGGTTGAAATGGCTAGGGGTAACTTCTCTCTCTCTCTTTTGTTTACAACTTTGGCAGAAGGAGCAGTGTGGCTATTAGAAAATACCATTACTAAGGAAAGCTAAATTGGGAGATAACTGCACAATCAAAATGATAAGCTCACGAGTGGAAATGTTGCCTGTGTTACCAAACCAAGGCAGGAGGGATCCACTGATACCTCCACTCATACATAGCTCCATTCACAAGAAAAAGGGACACATTCATCAGATGTGGCTCAAAGTTGAGGGAGGGAAGGTGGCATGGTATAGCCTGATCTTGTCAAATCTTGGAAGCTAAGCAAGGTCTATACTTGGATAGGAGACCACCAAGGATGACTCTGCTGAGGAAGGCAATGGCAAACTACCTTTGCTTCTTGCTTACCTTGAAAGCGCCTTGCAACTTGATAGCACTTGGGTACATATGAAGCTCCAAGTGGAGCTGATTGCTACCAGTGTGACCTCTTGACTAACTGTCCATGGCAGTTTCCCAAAGCATCTCAATACTGAAAGGATTATATCTACCTATTCTACACTGGTCTCCTTAGCTCATATGTTAGGTTATCCTCCTTCCTCTAGTAACTTTGCTGGAAGCCCCACTGAGTAGACTTGAGAAGGATTCTGAATAGGCCTGCTTAGGATTGTTCTCAATGTGGCCAGTTTTAATTAATTCCACCTGTTGGCATTTGGCTCTTAATTCATTCCACCTGCAAGTTCCTTTATAGAAAGTAGTTTATAGGTAGCAGATTTATGTATTCACAATTAATGCAATATTGCTCACTTAAAGGTAAAAATGAATAAAGCTGCCTCAGAAGTATGCACATATGCTGAAAAATACATAAACATGAATACATAAATAAAATAATGTTTGAATATTCTCCTGCTTAGACAATTTGGATAGAGTGTCAGACTAGGATCTGGGAGACCCAGGTTCAAATCCCCAGTCTGGCTTGGAAGCTTGCTGCGAGACCAGTCACACACTCTCAGCCTAACCTACCTCACAGGGTTGTCGTGATGATAAAATGGAGAATGGAGAAATGTTGTAAGCCATGTTGGGTCCCCATTGGGGAGAAAAGCAGGGTATAACAGAAGTATATAAATAAATAATTTTAACATTAAAGTACTACATTTTTGCAGTACTGTAAACAGTCCCCATTACATCCTAACTCAGACAAACATTACTGACTATAATTGCTTTCAAAACAGAGATACCATGGTGGAAGCTAACTTAGAATTGCAGTACCACATAAAATAGGTTTATATGGCTCACTTGACAGTTACACAGCATCACATATGCCAGGCTACCGTATATATGCATTTCTGTATTTTCACCGGAACTAGTCAATGCATTCTAGGGTTGCCAAGTCCCCACTGTATTCACAGCAGGGGACTCCAGCCGCAGTCCGGGAGTCGGATGACCGCGGCCCCGGCGCACCCGGCGTGGCCGCGTCACTTCCGGGTGACGTGCTGACGCCGGGCACGTCATGTGCTTTGGAGGTGGGGTTCCCCCCTGGGGCCTGATCCGCCGCCGGTGGGTGACGGGCCTCTGGGGCGGGGGTTTCCCCACCCCCTGGGGGGACTTGGCAAGCCTAATGCATCCCCAGAAAACATTTTAACAATACAGCCATTACAAGAGTGAATTGTGGTGAATGATGACCTATTATGGTGAATTATGACCTATTAACAAAGTTATGCATCCAGGATATATTCTGCTCCCAAGGGGACAAACAAAGCCCAAATCCTGCACATTCAATGTATTTTTCAATTACAATGAAGTATGTTAAAGTATAAACTGTTCAGCATCTAAAATTTAGGATTTAAAAAACCCGGACGTAAAAAAAAATGACAAGGAAGACTCACATATCTACTAAAAGAGGACAGCAAGCAGTTAAAGTAGACAGAACTGAACTAAAATGGGAGGTTGATATTTGCAAACATTTTATCCCTCTCTGACAAGCAAAAGGCAGCTAATGGACTTGCAGATAGGAACTGGGTCACATGTTCCTTGACCTCAGCCGACACTCCTCCTGGGTAACTGGCAGCAAGACTCCAGAGAGAACCTCCAAGGCATGAATTGGCCACTGTTCTGATTTCTTTTAGTTTTCAAAATGAACCTGAGTAGATCTCTGCTTAGTAGTGGTAGTGGTATCATTAAACAGCTAATCAGATTTAGCTGTGTTAAAATTTCATTAAGCATAGATGACAAAGGTGAAAATGGGGGGAGGGGAGACACAAAAGCAGACGCTTACTGGAGTCGTCAAGAACAACGGCAACATAATTTCTATAAACATTTCTGAAATATTTACCAGAACTTTCCCAGCACCCTGAAATCACAATTTCACACCAGAATGTTCACATTTGAACATGAAACCTGGTCCTAATAGTAAATAAGAATTTATGTAAGTCAGCTATAATGCCTCACCTCCTGCCCTAAACTACTTTTGTAAGATTTGTTTTGTGTTCTGACTCTACCTACACATAGGAAGCCATTTTTTCTAAAGCTATAAATGCTATAAAATCGCATTTTTACGGAAAAGAAACCTGACTTATTTGGAATAGCACATTTTGCAGTTGTGCAACACCCTATGAATGAATGGAACACATGTGTCTCTGGCAACTGAAATAAAATATGTTAAAACAATTACATTCATACACTTTTCTTTTGAACCTGACCCAAGTGTTAATCCAATTTTTGTAGGCCATCATCTGCAACAGAAGTCTGAATCCTTGAAATATCTAAAGGGCTTCAAAACACCAAGATGAAATGTGGGTGATCAGAACAACAAAACAAATAAAATCTTGTCTGTTGAGAAAATGGGAAGAACTGCAATGGCCTTCTTTTACTGTTTTAGCAGCAGAATAAGTGTTGATTTAGATACTACTACTATTTTTGTTACTCTGCCTTTAACATTTCCTTCTACTTTTGAGTTGATAATACAACAGATGCAAAAGTAGTTAGCAGCTAAGGTGAAATGCACTTGAACAGAGTTGGTACTCAAACACTAGCTCATTCCAGATGTCCCCTGGGGGTAGCAGGAAGGAACTTGGAAAGGAGCAGATACCTGTGCACCCAACCTATGATATTCACTGGAAGACCTGTAGAGAGTGCTTGCGCGTTCAGCCTTTGCAATGTGTTTAGGAACCCTCCATGGGGTTTTTACTCTGACTCCCAATCAAGTCGAGACAACAGTATCTGTGCAGGGCTGCATATGTAACCCTGTACAGATTACATATTTAAGGACAATCAAATATGTGTGTTGGGAGAGCAGAAATGAGGGTGCCGGTCCTGCCACGTTTGCTACTAAATACACTGGTTTGGTTCCCTGCCAATTGTGCTTGCCAGAGCATAAGAGACCTGGCATGACATAGTAATTAATATTGGAATAGGACCTAGGATAACTGGGTTTGAATCTCTATTCTGCCAATGGAAGCTCATTGGGTGACCATGGGTTTATAACAATCTCTTGACCTTACTCACTTCACAGGGTTGTTGTTGTAAATATAAGAAAGAAGATGTGATAAACCACTTTGGATCCCGATCAGGGAGAAAAAAATGATATAAATGAAAACAAAATAAAATAAACATGGAACAGCACCTACATGCATAAAAACTGTATGTAAGAATACTCTATCCCTGGGGTATCAAACATATGGCTTATGGGCTGGAACTGGCCCCTGTAGGACTCCTATCCAGCCCGTGAGCAACTTGCTCTCGTCTCCTTCCTGCATCGCAGTTCACTTTTGCCCAGCTGTCTCCTCTCCTGCTTCCTGCTTCACAGAGAAGAGAAAGAAAGCCAAGCTTCTCTTCCCTCAATTGGGTGAGGGCTCCTTTCCCTCCTCCTCTGGGGAGGAAGGAAAGGGAGGGAAAG